AAACGCAGAGCACTGTCCACAAAAAAAAGTAGGAGACTATAACAATATGTAACCACTTGTGGTGATGACATAAAAATACTATACAACCATTCTACAGATGATAAGTAGTTCAAATTGATCTTCTTATATAAAGATCCCTGAAGTTTTAAGTAATTATAAATTAAGTTGACGAATAAATAAATAAAACACAATTTAATTGATAGGTTTTGAATCTTATATTCTCAGATATACATTATCATTTAAAATGCATGAACATCACCAACATAGCAATATCATAATTCAGATACTGGTGCATCATGTCCATTATATATAATCCATATCTTCCCATATCAGTATAATCCATAAATATAGTCTACAGGGTGACTTAAAAAGATACATTATTATATTATTAGTCCCCAAAAGCAATCTTTGCAATCAACTTCATTTTTAGAGAAACTACAATTTATAGATGGTATTCAAAATTGTTGCATTACATTAATAATTATCATTCATCTTGGCATGAACAAAATGAACCTCCTTTCTGCATTGTTCATTTAGTCTGAGCTATACGTAATTTGATCTCAATGTTTATTTTCCTAGGGACATATTTTATTTTATTAAATATCATGACATATGCATGAAGATCAATAAACTTCAACTTAAATGATATTTTTCATCCATATACTTCTGTACCTGAAAATAAAATTGATTGCATTGTTTCAGAAAAACATTATTACAATTTTGGGATTTTCTACAGTTTTTGAGATTACCTTATACATATATCTCATCCCAATGAGCAGGATATTAAACAAATACTGGATGATCAGGAGCTGGATATGGCAGAATACCTATTCGAGAAAAAATATTGGGCGAGGCCACAGAGAGCTTTTTACATGGTAAAAATGTACATTTTTACACATTTTAACCATGTAAAAAGCTCTCTGTGGGCGAGGCGGCAGCCGAGCCCAATATTTTTTCGAGGATAGGTATTCTGGCCATATCCAGCTCCTGATCATCCAGTATTTGTTTTATTATGCACCTCCCAATCAAAGTTAAGTGGAGTACTTACTGGAGTACAGGCTTAAACTGTCGTTTAGTTGACATTATTTTGACATTTATTTATTTATTTTTTCAAAACTCAGACGACTTCCGGCCAGTTTATTCGCTACACTGGAGGAAAATATTTGCCCCGGGAATTTAATTTTTATTTATTCGAGACGTTCTTGCAGAATTATATGTAACTTTTGAATGATAAGGGTAATTGTGATTGATTAAGTGCATTCTTTTCTTCTATTTTCCGCCAGTTTCAGATGTAAGCTTTAAGTAGTACTCCAGTTATTAAGAAATAAAACTCTGAAGTGGGAATGTTGCAAAAACATTGAAAAAAATATCCGACCCTTTTTCTCGAAAGGGTCAGATATTAAAAAAATATCTGGCAGTTTTCAGAAAAGAGCAGAGTATTGCCAAATTACAAGCAACTAAGAACCAATCAGATTTGAGTATTTTAATGAGGTGCATAATAATGCCTAATATCCTGGCAGAATGAACATGGCAAAAATATGCCATAAAATCTGAGCAAAATATCAACTGGAAATGTATAAATAACACTACATTGAATAGGAAAAACTTTTATGTCATCCTATAGTGCATGTCACAGCTAGCATCAGGATAATCCTAATATTCTAATCCAGGGTTGCCACATTTCCAAATCAAAATTCCTGACTAATCCCTAATCATTTCTTTATCAATGAGAAATTAACCTAAACAGGGCAACATATAAAATTCATTGAAGAATATATTTTTAAACAGATCATTAACAGAGAATTTTTAACTAAACTTAATAATTTTTTGCTGAATTTATCAGTGGTGTGGCTATATCTGTATATGTACACAAAGTATGCACAGGCATACACTCAGTTTCAGAGAAAAATAATACTTTGCAAAACATAAATAAATACCTAAATAGAAATAGATCTATTCCATAATGAAATAAGTTTTACATTTATCAATAATTGTACATTTAATAATTTGTTGTGCATAATTAAGATTATAATATTTTAAAATAATTAGTGAAATAATATAATATGTCATAATAATGAAGTGGCTATTTACATCGTCCCACAGACTCAGCTAAAATGGTTGATGAATGAAATGATTATGCCACAGTATATGTTTACATTTTACCATCTCTCCAATGTGATCTACTGTAAATTGCTTTAATGGCCATTTTAATTTGGTCGACTGATAAAAACTGCCAAATTAAATCTCCGCCAATTTTTGTAAAAAATGCCTGGGAATCTCATTTTCGTCTGGTGACTTTTCCATGTGTTACATTGCACAATAAAACATGGAATAAAAAACTGATATATGCAGAAAATGTGTGGTTCAGACAAAACAATCTGTACCAGGAGAGATAAAATTGTGTTGTCGGTGGCGAGCTGTGAAGTAAGTAATATGATATGATTCATGATGAACAGTATGGCAAACAAGATGGAGGTAGCTTTTTACTGATGGGTCAATCCATCTAATTAAACAGGAGCTAAAATGACAAAATTTGCCAAATTCGCCATATTAAATTGCAACAAACTAGAAATCGGCAATTCCATGGAGTAGCAAATCCCAACAACCACTTGACTATATAAATAATGAATCTGTACAGTCACAATATAATATTTGCCATCTACTCTTCCCTTCAATAAATACTTAAGATCATTGTGGTATCATGTAACCATACTTTAAAGAATTCCTGGTCTAGGCAGCAATTTTGAATTTTCTGAGACACAAATCAGAAAAAATACCATAATTGTGATCTACTCTTAAATTCCTTCAATTCGAGTATAAGATAACCATATTTATGAGAGATCAGAAAATTATTGTGAAATCCAACATTTGGCCGCCATCTTGAATTTTACAAGGCCCGAATCAGAAATACAATACAATATTTCTGTTTTCCCAAACCCCCATTCATGGCCCCTGGGGGTCAGGGTGAAAAACACGGAATAGATGTGAAATAGATAGATGTTGTGAATACACTTCCAAAATTTCAAATAATAATATTTATTACTTTGGTTTAAAATGAAAAATATAAAATGTTTGCAAAAGATTTCCGCCTTTTTTTAAGCAGCGGCTATTTTGAAAATTTTTTTGCCTAAAACTATTCACCAATATACATCTTTCCACCAAATATGAAGAAAATCTGTCCACTAGTACATGTATTTGAATTATCTTCCGGACGGACGGACGGACGGCCGGCCGGAGGGCTTCACTATATCCCTACTGAACTTCGTTCGTTGGGATAATTAAAGCAATTTACAGTATATGGTATATTTTTCACTAAAAACTCCACCGATTTCACATGCATTTATGATTTGAAATTGTCAAGAAAGCATATAAAAATGCAGTGTCACTTTAGCAAATTATATCTGGAGGCTTAAGGAGCTGCATGAACATCTGGTATATTTACAATAAAACATATTAAAACTATATGGTCAAGCCAGAGGCAGTCAGGAGGAAGTACTGAAAAACCAAAGACATCTTCCTGATTGTGATTGTGACTGCTACACCTATACAGGGCATATAAAAAACGCAACAAGTAGTTATCTCGTAAAATCACAAAACTAGTGATGACTACATCAATTTCATTTAATGTACCATAAAGCCATGTCTCTCCTCTTTGCAATGATATGTCATTCATTCACATGTGGTAACGGTTGCCTTCCATTTGCACAGTGGGTCAAAATCGGCTCTGCACCAAGTTTTAGATATTGCAAAAATCAGTACAAGGACTAAGTGCCATTGGAAGTTACCCTGACTTGAATTGTTGTGACTTTTTCTTTTGGAGCTATCTCAGGAGCATCTGTGCTCACAATTCCTCCACCAGATATTGCAAAATCTCGAGAAAGATTTTCCCATGGGCTGCTTTTCTTTGCTTTAACCCACACATGATTCAGGGCTGAATCATGCATGACATGGACAGATGAGCGCATCTTTATGTGCAAGGAAGTGGTGGCAATTTGGAGGGGTATAGAATGTTTTCTTGCAAGAGTATGAGTATGCACACTTTACTGTCTATGCCATACCTGTCACACCTTCTTCCAATAGCCCCTATGCCCCTTGTACTGACTTTTGCAATGTTTTAAACTTGGGTCCGAGCTGAAATTTGCTCCACTTTGCAAAATTAATGATTATTCGGCCAGAGATGACTCCCTGTGAATGAGTGATATTCCATTACAAAGAGGAGTAATTTGGCTTTTGGTACATGGAATTAAAAGGATGCATTCAGCATTGGTTTTATGTTTTCGTCCAATATTGCATCAAGCTCCGTACACTGACTTTTGCAATGTTTATAACTTGGCCCGAAGCTAATTTTGGTCCACTTTGCAAATGGATTGATTACTCGCCCAACCATGACCAAATATCAATGAATGATATATCATTGTAAAGAGGAGACACATGGCTTTATGGTGCATTGAATGAAATCAATGCTGTTATCACTGGTTTTGTGCTTTTCAAGATAACAATCTGTTGCGTTTTTTTTGATACGCACTGTATATTCATTTCACGATCTAAATTACTTTTTTCATTTCAATTTCAATGCGATAGTTCAGAATGACAACAATATTATCACCTCCCATGTTGAATAGCTCAAATTCTGGGAACAGATTTTTTACATCCAGGTTTTTTCCCCATTGAAATATACAGGGTCTGATTTTGAACACATCATTTCAGCTTTATTTGACATTCCTCTTCACGTATATTTGCAAGATCTATAAAAATATAGGGTGTATGACAATCTGCAAAGCATTTTCACAAATATTTTTCGAAACTGACGAGAATCATGAAATGTTCTACCGTGGCATCACCGACTTAGTTCCCCGAACCTGAGACTCGATGACTATATATGAAACAAGAAGCAAGTTCTCACGTATATAACGTGGGCTTGATTTCATGTTTATATATATTTGATATTAGTATGACCTTTATCGTCCTGACAATACGCAAAAACATGGTTTAAAGGTTGGGAGAATTAACATTGAAAATGAAAATTTGTCCCAGTTGAAGTGATGCATTGCGGGAGATGTTTATGTTAATGACCATGTTTTCGTCTATCGCGTATTAGTCTATTGCCAGGGTAACAATATCGTTATAATACACAAGTTCAGGCTAAAATATGAACCATATATCTTTCCAGGGTATGTAATAATATCATTGAGCCCAGATGTATAAATTACATTACAGATGTACTACACCACAGTTATTGTAACAGATGTCTCTTTTTTATTATTCAAGTCTGTTCGTATATACCCATTAGTTCCATTTGAGGAAGATTGGTATCCGTTAGTTCCATTTGAGGAAGGTTGGTGCTTTGCAGTTCCATTAGAGTGAGCCTGATGTTCAGCAGTGTCAACTACAGTGTCTGTGCCTTTACACAAGGTGCTTAAACAGGGAATAAGAAGCAGCAAAGCACCAGATAGTACTATGAATGCCCCTGATGCATAGAAAGCCGCATCATATGAACCGGTATCATCAGAGATTTTACCTGCAAGTACAAAACATTGTCATAAATATATGGCAAAACAAAATAACTTACAAAAAAACTATTTCTGCATATATCTATTCTCAGGAAATTTTTAGACCCCGGATTTTGGATTTTTCACGGTATCGCAACTACTCCTCCTATACTACTTCTGACCTCCTATTCCTTGTTTCTATCCAGTTTTATGTATTTTCCTAAGAGTTTTACCACAAATAATGTGACAATAATGTAAAATTAGACTCCGGAAAAAACACTTTAGATTCAAGAAAAGCTATTAGACTCTAGAGCAAGAGGGTCTAAAGACATTAGACTCCAGACTACGGCAAAACAAAACATGGAAAATATAGAGGAAGTGAAACAGAAAAAGTTAATATTAGAATTCATCTTTGGTTCCAAGCTGGTCATGTTTTTAATAATGGACATACTATTCTGATAAATAATACTATTTTGGGTTAATTTCCCATTAATGGAGTTTCTATTGAAAGATCCTTCAAACTAATGTTTATTTTACATAATGATAACAAGGTTTGTAAGTGACATGATCTCTTTACTTTGAGAATACTGATCGCATTTTGTTTGGTTTACTTATGTGGATTCATTCTTACATTATCAAGAAGCAACTGAAACCTTGTGAATCAAGATGTAGTTGACCCATGCAAGTTCATCATGCACTAAGCACACACTTTGCCACAAATATAGAGTATACTGCATAATTTCATTCCACTTGTGATAACCCAGTGTGTATAATGTATATGGCTTACCTGCTAAAGGAGGTCCAATGAGGTTACTGATCCCCTGTGCCATCATGACTAAACCCATAGCATTAGTTAGTCTCCCCATGCCAACTAGATCCACCAGGATAATGGTTGTCAATGAATAGTTTGATGCAATAAAGAATCCAAAGCCTCCAGTGGCTGTGGCAAGTAATGGATAGTTGTAACACAGTGGTATTACTATAACAGATACACCACATATTATGATAGCTGTCATGTAGAGGAACAGAGAGTTAACTTTGGGATGATCTCCAATAACTCCAAAGATCACTTGACCGATGGTATTAACAATACCAATGATGGAGATGAGAAGTGAAGAGAGGGCCTCAGAGTGACCCTGGTTGATAGCTCTGTCAGTCACATAGACATATACAACATCATACCACATGTAGAGGATAATGTTAGACACACAGAACATGATGAATGACAAATTCTTTAAAATAGTTATGTCCATCATTTCCTTGAGAATCTGTTTCACTTCAGAAGATACAGAGATTATACTCAAAATGTTGGTATCTGTAGCCTCAGTTTTGGTTTTTACGTGGATATTTGGACAACTTGATGATGTTTTAAAGCGAGGAATTCTCACTAAACTGCCTCGATAAAATATATCTTTGCGATACATTGGTTGTATTGTCAATGTATCAGGGGTTTTTCTTATAGTATTTTGTTTCCAGGGTCCATTGCTCATTGCAGGAGTACTATTGATTAACTTATCTGGTGAGTTTTTACGTGGAACATTACAAATAGGGAACTGTTCATCACAGAGACTGACAGAGTGTGACTGTGATATTTCCAGGACATTGCAAGAGTCGTCTGCTATATGAGGTAGACTCCCACTGAAGTGTTCATCATTGTCTTCATGTATTACCTCCACATCTCTATTGATGTGATCATTGTGGTAGTATGTTGGTAGAGTCATAAGGGACTGTGTCACAGGATCATTCAACATGCTATGCTTTTGCATATCCAGATCTATACAATTATCATTTATACTGGCACTACCATTCAAAGGTATATGTATTTGGTTTATATCGTCCATACTTATGGTGGAGTTCTGTCTCGAAAATTTTGCTAATGATCTGAGATATCTTTTACGCTTTTTATCTCTTTTGGTTTCAAGAGGTCTGAAAAGAGCCCCAGCAACTACAATGTTCAGCATGATACCCCCCAGTATTAAGATAGTTCCTCTCCATCCATACTTCCCCATGAGGAATTCAGTCAGTGGGGCAAATACAAATGTTCCTATACCAGATCCACTAACAGCTAAGCCTGTGGCAAATGCTCGCTTTGTCTCAAAATAGTAGGCAACAACAATTATTGCAGCAACATATACCACAGAGAGACCCAGTCCAGATATAAGTCCTATTGTTACACATAGCATCTCAATGGAAGTCACAAAATAACTGAGGAAAAATCCAAACATTGCAACAAATCCACCACACATGGTGACTGTCCGACAGCCATATTTGTTAGTGAGTGCACTTCCAATGGGTGCAGCAATCAAGGGAACAGAGAGGAAGAGAGAGGCAACCCATGACGTCTTAGCTTTAGATTCTCCAAACTGCTCTAATAAGTTTGCATAGATGACTCCAAATGAGAAGCCTATTCCATCGGCAATGAGATGGCATATGAATGAGCCAAACACAACTATCCATCCCCATCCACCATCTGGAGGTGTGGGTATTGAAAATGCAGATGAAGAGCTGCTATCTGACTGGTTGCTACTGCTTGAGTGACGCTGCTTTTTAGTTAGAGGCTCATCAGCTTCATGATCATTGTTCTTAGGCATGTTGCACTATTGTTAAGCCAGTTACCTACAGACTGGCTGATAACAGACTGACACAGTTTAGTTCTATAGGCTGTTGACTTAAGATAACTACAATCACTATAAAACACCTCTGTCCAATCTATCACAAATAATATCCAGTGTTTTATTGTGCCTCTATCACTATGATTTAAGATGTTATAACAAAATAATTCAGCTATATTAATGCTGAATATATCTGGCAGATAGAGTTTCGACATGAGTCTGCATAGGTGTAGAATACTGTGGGTAGGTAGAGTGAATGCCATGCAGCTGTTGAAGCCCTGGCCAGCAAGTCTGAAAATACAAACAATCTTGTAAACACTTGATAAAATACAGGATCTAAGTTTGCATTTTACTTTGGACTTCCTGTTTGTTTTTTCTTAAAACTACCGGCTCTTGGCATTAATTGATGTTGTATACAATTTATGTAAACACAATATACAGACCCAAGAAAATTCTAACACATTTAATGTTAGTTATATACAGGGTCTCAAACAATGCTCTTAATGGCATTTAACATCAAAGTTGAGATGTCGAACATTGAAAAAGTAAAATATGAGAAGTCTAGATGTCAAAAACAGAAATAATCTAAAATATCAAGATAATGTTTGCTTCCATATTTAACTCTCAGCATTTAAAAAGCTTGAAGCAGAAAAATCATTTCATACATACGAAAATTTTGAATTAAATGGTTTAAAAGTTAACTAACAAAATTGTTTAAAAGATTGAGCCAAGAAAGATGATGAATTGGAAGCAAAATCTGATAAAATTTACATGTGCTGCAGTGTTGTTTTATTAATACATACATGCATTAAGCTAATCAGATAATTTAAATTCTCAAGCATGCATATAAAAAGGATTGATTGGCAGAATAATGCATCAAGTAGAATGGAAACAAGACACACAGGGATAACAAATATTGCAATATGAAGAGCAAAATGGCCATCTTGTAATAGACTAGAAGCAAGTAGAAATAATCTTGATTTACTTCATTTAAAATTCAAAATTCAATCAAAGTGATATCATGTTTGATATCTACATGTAAAATCATATCTAGATATATGGTTTTAAAAAGTGTTTATCAACTTTGAAAATTCAATTTTCTTTGAAGGTCTTGGAGATAACATGGTCGCATGTTTTCAACAACAAAACAAATCCGTGATGTCTTTCAAAAGAATTCAAAAGAGTGTCGGTGCACCCCAGGCGGTGCGCATTGCGCTCAGACGATTTTTTTTGTTGTTGAAAACATGCGACCATGTTATTTGCACTACGTGGCTTTTTTTTCTTTGTCTTGATACCTGGGGGGAAATCTCATTACTATTATGCAATGCACCATCGCCGTGGGCAATTCAAAAATGCAACTTACCTACCTTTGCAACTTAGAATATTGAATATTGGGTTTGACATATTATTTTTCTTATTGCAAGTTTTCAATGTTTGCCTTGATATTCGATTTTTCTTGTGCAATGTTTTCAAATTTTTGCTTTAATATTCTATTTTTCTTATTTGATGTTTTGTACCATTTGCTTTGGTGTTTTTAAACAATACTTTGATTTATTGAAAAATGTAATTGCAGTATATCAACAATTTCTGACACCTTAAGTATTCCCAGAGACTAATCACTTCAAGATTGTATTGTACAGAAAACGGTCACAAAATTTTTGTATGCTTTCATTAACTTTTAAAAAAAAGGGAAATTATCCATACATGTAGCTATGATAAATACCTTGACAATATTCAAGTCCATGATTATAAATTCTATATTTATCCTTTGTTGCTTAAAAATTCCTATTCTTTCTCATTTAGTTGTTCAGATGAGATGTATGCCTCTGGTTCTGTCCATGTGCTTTACTTGAACATGCTAGTCTGACAGGCAGATTATAACAGAACAGATAGGCCCATGTAGTTAGATGTCTAGGGACTTGACTTCAATGTCATGAGACTAAAGTTCAAATGTGATATGTTACAATCTAATTTATAAGTAACCTACTGGGGATGTACATTTGTATTTGGCTCAGTGCTTATTTTTGCATGGTATTCATCTTCTTATGGTAAGATGCCTGCATGAACCAGTGCTGTTTATACCATCATACAGCCCAATGTACCATATCAACAGAAAATAAAATGTACAAGCAAGTTTAATATATTCATCACAAAGATATTACCCACATTAGAACCTCCTGTAGTTTATTTCTCCGTATAATTATAGTGACTGACTGTTCAGTGAGTTAATTTGTTCTGGTGAAGACATCCTTAAAACAAAAAGAAATCCCTAATGTTTATCTTCTTAAATATTATCTCTCGTAAAATTTAAAGCAGTTACATATGCTGACATCAGAGAAAGTTGCATTATTGCGCACGCTACAACTTCCCGCAACTTTCACCTTTTGATTTTAGTACAAGTAATGAGGAAAATTATTCTTATATCAATAATAAAAATCATTTTAATAAAATAATTATTATCAAGTTGCATAAGTAGGTCAAATTACTTATTTACTTGGTATTAAGGATAACTATAGACTATATAACACAATAATAAGATAAAGTAAATACAAAAATGGTGGCAATTTTGAAAATTCACTGCCTTAGTTAGTTACTGCCTTAATTAATTGCAGCTAGGTATAAGTCTCAAGGCTGAACCTAGAATAAACCGTGTATCAAACCATTCGCCTAAATGCATCAAAAACTGCTTTACTGATATATATGTACTTTCAGTTGTAATGAATACAATGCCTGATAACAATTACCATTTTATGTATATTAAAACCTGTGCTGAATTAATGGGCTTAGAGTCCATTTCACTGCTTCATTTCGTCAGTAGAACGGCAAAAATAAGAAATTGGGAGACCATTGTGCAATAACATATGGAAAAGTATATTCATAATGTACATGAATGACATTTGTATATTTCAGATTTTTTAGTTTAATGTATTATAAACCTGTGCCGTCTTGTAATTTGAAGAATTTCAGCCATGTTAAACATGGATATTGTTTCTTATTTTTGCCGTTCTACTGACGAAATGAAGCAGTGAAATGGACTCTAGGTAGTTACAGCACACTGGCATAAAATGGATTTTATAATGCTTTACTCTAGGATTTGACGAGTATTCAGCTTTAGGGAGTTTTGTGGTATCTTACTTTGGAAAAAAAGTTTTTCAGTTAATCTTAATATTACACTTCAGATGGATACAATGATTTATACCCAGTAATTACATGAAAACAAACAAATTAATTGAATATCATTATTCTTCAAAGAGCATATAATAAGTTAATGATTTTGGAGATTATACAAGTCTCTGTCTTGATCGCTTATTTTTCCTTTATAAATTAAAATGGAGGACCAAAATGTTTTCTATAGCTTTATGTAACTCATGAAATTGGTGACATCTACTTTTTTGATCTATTCTGAAACATATTATACTCGTAAAATGAACCTTAGTGGCAAAAGATCCTCCCCTATCATTATTCATAGCTTAAATCGCCCACACATCCTTCTTGAAATAAGATTCATTCACTTTCACACATCATTTTCCAAGACACAAAAGTGCGAATATAACTTTAACCAAGAATCGCATCAATGGAATATTTAGAGAATGAAATCGTCTCTAGACATTGATGGTACACGGGACAAGTTTCACAGAGATACAAAGTCTAAAACCATGATAAAAGTAGCATTATAAACCTGAAGTGGAAAGACTCACGAACCGTTCGCCCACCCATCATTTATAAGGTCACGTGACAGACTATACATGGGGTGATGCCAAAAAAAAAAAAAAAAGGTGCAACAATTAGTGTAGGAGGGCCATTCAACGATCATGGACCAGTGTCACTGGTACTCACCTAGTTACGCTGACGATATGTCAGCGTAACAAGATGGAAGAACTTCCGGGCTTCGTTTTCGGTAAGATATTTTTATTTCTCGATTCTACACCACTTATAAGGCAAGTTAATAAGTCATGAATATTGCCAATGTGACAATATTCATGAAGATCGTCAACGTAACAAAAGCGAGGGTCAAAATATGTAAAATTGCATCTTCGTTAATATACCAAACATAGAAACGCCTGCATATTCTCAAACTAGACTATCTTCCTTAACTTTGAGCCAAATTATTATCCACAACTTGACTCATAAGTGGTGTAGAATTGAGAAATAGAAATATCTTACAGAAAATAAAGTCCAGAAGTTCTTCCATCTTGTTACGCTGATGTATCGTCAGCATAACTAGGTGAGTACCAGTGAGTGTGAAAATATATTTAAGTTTGGATATTTCATCAAGACTAACATATATTTTTATTATCTCCAAAGAAACCTCCTGAATGAACATTAATTCAGCTGATATTCCTCTTGAAACGTGGTGGATCTTAAAAATCTATAAATGGTACTCTCTTTATAGAACCTGTCTTAGTGAACACCTCTCTCTAGTGACACCTCTGTTTAGTGAACACCAATTCAAGACAAATTTTCACAAAAGGAAGATACATTGTCTGTCTGTTACTGTGATCATATATTTTTCATTTATCTTTTTAATAAATAAACACAACTGTGCATACTAAACTATGAATACTCCTCTGGAAACCACCGCTACGTCCCTTGGAAGACTCAACGCCGGATTAGAATCCAAATCTGAATTTGCAGCAATCTAATGTTATAATGAGAATGGCGCGAAATAGTGAAGTTTTTAGACCTCTCTCTAGTGAAGACCTGTGTTTAGTGAACACCAATTCAAGACAAATTTTCACAAAAGGAAGATACATTGTCCGTTACCGTGATCATATATTTTTCATTCATTTTTTAAAATTAATAAACACAACTGTGCATACTAAACTATGAATACTCCTCCGGAAACCACGGCTACGTCCCTTGGAAGACTCAACGCCGGATTAGAATCCAAATCTGAATTTGTGGCAATCTAATGTTATAATAAGAATGGCGCAAAAAAGTGAAGTTTTTAAAAGTTTAAACTGTGTCGACCGGAGTCGCCGGCAGTCACATCGGATAGTAAAACATGGGCGACTCCACTCGCCGGCAGCATGCTTTAAGGTCAAAGGCAGAAAGAAAGATATAAGAACTGTCAAAATTGCAAAAAACATGCCCAACTTTTGGAAAAGTTGATCATTCAATTTGATTATATTAAGTGCTCAATCTCACATATAATTTTGTCATCCACTACATGAGCTGATTGTGCCTTTAATATACAGGGCTGTATATCCCTTCAATTTGAGTATAGTATTTAGCCCTGCTTTTAACCTCTTGAATCCCAAGCTCTAATATCGGTTGTACCCAAAGAGTTTCTCATTTTTGCCACCTTTTGACATTTTACTACATACCTATACCACTTAAGATGATTAAAATTGATTAAAGATGAGAAAATGTCTGCTGCGGACATTGAAAAACGCTGATAGATGAGAAAGATATTATTGTCTAGTCCAAGTATCAGATTTAGCTGACACGTATATCATTTTAACAGCTACCATATTCTCTGTAATCAGCGCTTAGAGAATACATCCTTCAGACCATTTCATGCATTCATTTCATGAATTTTTCCTGCCAAGAATGCCTTATTTGCAACATCAAAATGAAGTAACAGCATATTTTCACAATAATGATATGTATTGTTATTATTTCACTGTCATATTCCTCATTATCTGATTGGTTCATGTCCTACACATGACTAAAAATATTGAACAAATATTTCACTCTATTGAGGTGAATACCTGTAAATCTTTCACAAGTGATATTCCACGAAGCCCGAAGGGCAAGTGGAATATCACCTTGTGAAAGTGCTACAGGTATTCACCGAAAATAGAGAGAAATATTTGTTTTATTATATCACTGTCTAGCTAAACATCCCTAATATTATTAAGTCATAGGTTAACATTGAAATACATTGAATCTACTCGGTTCATCTGCCATTTTGACTTACACTGAACTAAATTATTTACACTGAAGGAAAACAAATTCTTTGAAAATTCCCGGGAGTGTGGGATATCGCTAGATATCTCACGGTTGTCTTATCTGATTAGCATTGCCATTGAATGTCGCCAGATATCCCACGACATGTGACCCGGTTTTGACAAATCATACTGTCGCTAGCTAGATAGTGATATAATAACAAGTGATATTCAACGGAATTCATGTGACTTTTTGAATATCAAATGATATTCACCAGTCACAATCTAGTCCTGTGTTTTTTCAATAGACTCATACGCGATAGAAGATAACATGGTTATTAACATAAGTATCTCCCGCAATGCATCGCTTCAAGTGGGACAAATTTCCATTGGCATGTTGATTAAACCTTAATTCTCCAAACCTTAAAACCATGTTTTTGCGTATTGTCGGAACAATAAACTTTATACTTATATCAAGTTATAACCCTAACAATTGATACGAGTCGGACATAAATAAACATGAAATCAAGCCCACATTCAAGTTTCACATCAGGTCATCAGGAACGAAATCGGTGACGCCATGTTAAAACATTTCATGGCAAAACATTTCATGATTAACTGTAGTTTCAAAAAAATATTTGTGAATTTGTTAATGTGAGTGAGGAATATAACAGTGAATAATAAAACAAATATTTAATTCTATTTTCAGCGAATACTTGTGACACTTTCACAAGATGATATTCTACTAGCCCCTAGGGCTTCGTAGAATATCACTTGTGAAAGATGCACAGTATTCACCTCAATAGGATTAAATATTTGTATATTATTGGAGAGATTAAGGTAAAGGTAAAGCGGTCTAGTGTAAGCATTCTATATCGCACACTCGAATTTCTTTGAATTTCTGATGTTGATACTGGGTCATTCCTCAATATATCTTGAACAAAGCAGGTGGGCACTGCTTTTTAGAGAATGGGTGCTAATTACAGAAAATATGGTAAGTGTTTGTTTAATTTTAAGCCTCTAACTTGAGATTAAATACATGGTAATCATAAAGGCTAATTTTGTCTTATATTCTCTAATGATCATAACAGAACACAATTACAGAGCAACAAGAACAAAACATAACTGAACCAAAAACTGAAATGAACCGAAATTTTTATTTCCAAAACTTTTTTGAATTTTGAGTGGAATTAATATTCAACGAGGAACAAAAATCAATAAAAGGGTATCACCACCCATATCATGAGATAACCAATATTATTACATCACTCATCTTCCATAAGTAATATTGCACAAAGCCTGGAGGGAATACTTTTGCCAATATTTGGGTATTTCAAAATGGTCCAGACAATATTTGAATATTCAGAGTTATGCTTTAGTTTGTCAAAGTAACAATTTAATCTAGCATTGCTCAAGTCGGTATCTTTTACTTATCTTGATTTTTATTATGACCGCATTGTAAAAATGAGAAAGCCACATGCTTTACCGATCCAATGTTTATGTCAGTAAATTTGACCAATCAACGATGGCCCTGCAGTGTTAACTCATTATTATGCACGGTCAAAACAAGTACACTTTTCATGAACAAATCTTGCACAATTCATCACGAAAATACAAATATTTTATCATATAAATATCAATCAGAGTTTAGTGGATGCAGTGGATATAGTGGACATCGATCGGATACCCGGAAGTGAAAAGATTTCAACAAGAACAATGAAAAGATTGTCGAAATGATCAAACATGATAGCTAGATCTAGGGTGAGATTCATATCCTACACTGAATCATATCGACGACTACATGGACTTCGTGCATTTTCATCGCGAATTCAGTTTTAAATCAACATTAAATCGCATGATTTAATTTATATTAATGACTGCTTACATTCCAAGTACATTTAATTACAGAATACATTGTATATTGTAACTCTGAAGAATTGCTCGATCTGATCATTGAAAATTTCAAGTCGTAGATGGGTAGTTTGCTTTGTTTATGCATGGGCTTTCAATTAGATTAGATCTAAATGAAAGCCCATGGTTTATGCAGGTAAACCTGATAATGTTTTGATTGGTCAATCAGCCTGAAGTCACACGTCGTGGCCATGCAAATATCTTGCCTATCTGATGCGGCTTCACGATACCCCTCACAAATACGCGTAGGAATTATGGAAATCTCAAACCGCTGAATAACTTAACATTTCAGCTGTGATGTCAAAGGCGGTAATAATTCAAGATCAAATATGTAAAAAATACCAACTTGGGCAAGGCTAAATGTAATCATGAACCTGATATATTTGAACAGGTTTAAAATGTTATATCAAATTACTGATGTTGTATTTTTATCATGAAAGACATGAAGCAAATAACAGATTACATGGACCCTATGTCACTTGTTTATTGGATCAGGTATCAATATGCAGGGACGGATCTGAGAACTAATAAGGGGGGGGGCAAATTTCAGGTCAGAGAAAAAAAACTAAAACCAAAAAGTGGGACCAAACCCCCCCCCCCCCCAGATCCGCCAGTGAATATGTGATTAGTTTGCGATCAATAACTTATTGATAAGAGGCTAACATACGAGATCAGGTTGAAGTGTCATCGTCTAACTCGTAAATTCGATACAACTGAGTAACAGAATTCAATTTCTGAAAGACTAAAAGATGGATCATGAGGTTAGGTATTTTTTATGAAAGTAGAATCATGTAGATATACCAAAGATACGTTCTAATATGATACATAGCGATTAGCGACTGTATGGAAATTGTGTAACAGCAAATCTATGTTTACTTATCACTTCGGTAACAGGCCATTTTGGATACTCCCACATATTCAAGCACCTGTCTGTCAGAAATACAATATGGTGCAGACTGCAGATGTAATATCTATTTAATTTTACTCATACATGTAGCATAGCCACCCTATCATGTTTAACTTATATATCATTTTGTTCCTTATGGAAAGTTACATAGGATTGCAAAGTTTCAGAATCAAGGAGTGTCGCTGAAAAAAAGATACAATGTATCAAAGTATGCAGGTACGGGGTCATTTATAAGTACCCTATGAGCATCTTTGGACCCAGTCCAGTGATCTGTTCACTTTGTCCACAGCCCATTTTTAGTGATAAAAGTGGTATCATGATGTCTGGCTTGCTTATAAGGCATTGTATGCATCATGGCAATATATCTCTGTGCATAACTGTCACAGACATGTGGACTGAACTCTGCCATGATGACAACTGCTAGAAATGTGCAATACGGAAACTAATTTTGACTTTTAAATTGCCATCAAAATGACCAGAAATTGCTCTCTCAATAACCTGTAGCCACATAAGTTGATACATTGTATAACTTTGCAATCTTATGTGACTTTTCACAATGAACAGAATGGAAAGAATAAACCAGAAAAATTTCCAGGGGGGGTTCACATTTGACAATTTTGGCCCAAATATGGCTAAAATCACATGAATTTGAAAGGATTTTTGGCGAGTTGGGGGGGGGTTTGCCCGAACCCTTTCAACCCCCCCCCCCCTGGCTACGGGCCTGATGGTATGTAACATGATAAGGTTAAATAGATATATGTATGAGTTTGGAGGGGGATGCATATATATGAAACGTCCTGTATATTAAAATCACACCTATTCAATAACCCAGATGCGAGTAGAAATAATCTTGATTTACGTCATTAAAAATTCAAAATTCAGTCAAAGTAATATCATATTTGAAATCTACATGTAAAATTACATCTAGAAATGTGGTTTTAAAAAGTGTTTATTAACTTTGAAAAATTAATTTTCTTTGAAAATGTGACTTCTGGCTCGGGGAGATTCCCCATAGACCCCATGCTATAAAATCACAAAAAATGAAATATCTTTTCTTTTAGTGGACAGATAATATTTTGCTTTACTGTATATTATATTTTCATTAGTATAAGTATCAGACACATAAGGGTTATATGAAAATTGAGCCACTTAAATTGATAATATTCAAGTTTAAGGGAACTTTCTTATATACCTGCCATGTTAATTGACCCGAATCAGCCACCTGGTGGTGAAACTGGTAACTACCTACTCGCATTTGGGTAATTGCATTTATTGACTGTCACAGTCTAAGATGTCACCAGATACAGTGTTCCATTTAGCTATTGTCCTAAGCACAGATGTTGGCCAGATCGTTTTGTAGTAGGATCTCATAGGCTAAAAGAATAATTCAGAAGATGCGTCACTAAATTGGAAAATTTCAAAAAAGTGACCACCTTTCAAAACGTTCCTACATTCATGTACATTATGAATATACTTTTCCATATATTATTGCACAATGGCCCGGGTACAATGGTCTCCCAATTTCTTATTTTTGCCGTTCTACTGACGAAATGAAGCAGTGAAATGGACTCTAGGCTAATCTAATGCTGTAGTATTGAGACTCAACTGAAGTTAAAAAATGAGGTGAAATATACACCAAAATAGTGATTATGACCAAACAAAAACGGGAGTCCAACCAGAAGTCAAAAGAGTAACCGCACTTTCAGTCTAATATTGAATAATGAAGATTTATAGTGGTCACTGTGAAAATTCCCACAGATGGCAGAATTTTTATGGAAAAACATTTTTTTTATTTTCATTTTTCAGGATTTACGGCTGCAAATCGAGTTATTCACGTGTACTTGCCTCATATCCGCATCTTAGTCAGCTGTATGGCATCATAGGGTATGTCTGTGTTAGTACTATATAGAGCATGCGAACATGGTAAACATTTGAATCGATTTATTCTGCTTCTGAAGTGTTTTTATCAAGACGTAACAATCTCCGAGTGTTTCGTTCAGTGCGATCATATCCTTGCACGCTGACCGAAACTGCCCGGGTGGAATCAATGTCTTATGATTATCTGTAATAAGTCCATTTGAAACAGATATATAATTGAAAAGTAATAGAATTTGAATAGAACATTATTTAGTGTAACGGGGCTAAGCTTATAAAGCTAATAATGAATCAACTCAAAATCTTGGCCCGGGTAAGAGTGAAGAATTGCACTGAACGACTTACTTGAAGTTGGTTAATTTGAACTTTGACCTATCTAATCATGGCGGCCTCCTCGGAAGAAGATTACGACGTTTGTATGACTGATTTCAAGTACATATTCAATCCTGATTTACTCAAGTAAGTAATGGACACAAGCAAAAATATATCACCTTCAAATGTTAGTGTTTTGTAGTTGAAATTTAGTCTACAGTTTTTCTTCGTGACGATCTAAGAAATTATTTCAGAACTCAAGAAAAAGTCAAAATGTTAGAAGTCACTCACCTTACTCGAGTCTCTAGCCAATACTTGGCTAGAGGGGATTGCATCTGGAATACTGTGAATTCTATTCTGTACGTTACGTTACGTACACGGCATGTTACACAACACAACACAGCTTTAATTTAGATCTAGCTTTGGCTTGTGGTCGCTACCCTTTATTTGTAAATACTAGTACAGTTGGGGACATAAATAAATGACAGGTGGATTTGCTGAAGTGAGGATTTCCCATGTTAAAAATAAGAGAATTTACAAAAGGCCATACATCAGTGGATGAGATTATACAAAATGTAAAATATACAAATTTTAAGGGATATATCTAGACAATATTGGAAATTATGGGCTTTCAGACCACCATAATTAGGAAATGGTGATCGAAAATCGACCTGTCATTTATTTTTGTCCCCAACTGTATATGTGTACATGTGACAAGATCTTTACAATACTTTTAATAGATATCGTTTTGTAAGACTGTTTGCATGGCCTGCTCATTGTAAATCCTAGTATACGTGTACATATGGCAGAAACTGTGCCGGGTATATTGTACAATTAGTAAAACAGGTTGTATGCAACGTTTAATTGTTGCCTGATTGATATCAAGGTGGTTGATCACCATTAAAACCAAAGATGCTATTCGACTGAAGTCGATGCCCTATGGAAAGGTATAACCCCACCTCTCAACCCATCAGACCCAATCATAGATAAACTCTGTTTGAATGCAGAAATAGCTTTTTAAAAAATTTTGCTTAACATTTTTTGGAGTTCACTGTTCGGCGACCAAGCCCAGAATGACTTCTCTATTCATAAAACTCACTCACTAAACAAGGCCTAACACACAAAAATCTTTGCTCAACTCGAACAGCATGCTACATTACCAAATCATGATTCATGCCTTTTCTTCACTTCACTGCACATATATAGAAAGTATTTATATTCTTAATTCGCTTCGCTCAAACGAATATAAATTTTCACTCTATTTGAAAAAAGCATGCCGGGGTGTCATAAATTTATTGAATATTTTAAAAATCGCCAGATAAATAAATCATTAACCAAACCGGACCCAGCTCGGTTCCTTGATGAGATATTACATGATTTCATCAGGATTTCGTCTAAAATTAAAACAAAATGGCTCCAAGAAAAATGGAGTCGGGGCAATCTGCGCGAGATTCGGTTTTTACTTGGTTCGGTTTTTCATTAAAGGAAGTACTTCATTCCCATGATTCAAAGTGCTTTTCTGCCATCGGTTCGGTTTAAGTTTGTACAACACACGTCTACAAATCCGGGGCAGGTTGATATTATGTCATTACATTTGTTTTGGGTGCATACTTTTTGTTTTGACAATAAACAAAAATATTCCCGCACTATATGGTGCATCATGGGTAGGGACTGCTGTGAAAAAATGAACGTAAGTGACATCTATCTCAAATTAAATGTTCCTATAAGTTAGTAATTGCGCATGCGTTATAATAATTTGAACCAATTAAATTGCTGGATTTATTGCGCATGCGCTAAAAACCGAACCAAAAAATGGAATCTCGCGCAGATTGCCTCTAGTGGAAAAATGGCGATGTTCGAAAACTGGACGAAATGTCGTTAACGTCTGACATTAGTAACTGGCTGTAAATTCTAAGTTAGCGATCCAGAAGATGTGAACTAATACACTGATCACTTTATGTATGTTTTGGAATTTTTGGTGAGGTAATAAGACCAAAACTCGCAATTCAAATTGTGATGTGGAAAAATGGCGGACATATGATTTCAAATTTTATGATTACGACAAATTTCAAATTTCAAATTTATTAGCTTTATTGTATTTCAATCCCCATCAGGGGTCATATACAAAGCATACAACTAACTACAAACTACTTAAGTACAAAAATGAAATATAAATGTGTAATGCCCACGGATGGTGGGAAGTCCTCAATATATTACTTAGATAGATGGAGGACCTCCCACCATCCGTAATAATGCCACTAGACCCACTAGTATGACATGACATGACATGACCAGTTGTTCATGCAGAAATATATCTGTACTAGAAGGCCACGATACAGTGGCCTTAGAAGAAGGTAACACTCACCAAGCTTATAGCTCTTATAGACTATTAGACACTATATGACTATGGTATTTTTTAGTCTAAGCTTACTTTCCAGTCACTAGTATGTTACGGTTTATTATGTCACCATTAGATGATTATACTACTATTTTTTTCATGGCCTGAGTTCGTCGCTAACATGCTAAATATAAGAGTTAGACTAGCTGACGTTTGGGAGTCTGACTTACCTTCTAAAGGTTAGAACCCGAATCTTAATGAAACCATATCACCTTTGTTCCGTCAACCATGGAGCATTTTCCACAACATCCAAGAGGTAAATCATGGACCGTGAAAATGAATGATTTCCTTGTAAGTTCCGGAAGTTTCAATACGAAAAATTACCGAACATATGTGAAAACCGAATATTTGTTCGTTGTTTTCACGATTTACAGGCTCGTTTGTTCTCCAATGTTTTGATCTAAATTATAAAGCATCACCAACAGGTCTTACTCTATTAATCGACTAATACAGCAGACAGCTCATATTTCTACGTAGCATTTCGTTCAGACCAATAGTGGGAGTGTAGATCACGCAGGTTTCGTTCGTTGCGTACTTCACTTGAAATTGGTAATTTTAAATATTGGCTACTTCACTTAGCTTGGCGGATGTAGAACATTGCTTAATATTCTTTTAATTTTCACACCAGACATGCTTGGTTGACACGTCAACAAAGTAAATAAAAGTTCAAGGGTCAATGCGTTATTTCGTGATAACTACAACGCCTTCCCGGAAGTCAACATTGATGAAAAATGAAAAAGTCGGAAAAGCATTTACACTAATTTCTATCAAATGCTGTGTTTATGCATCATCATCGACGCAACAAAGGTGATATGGTTTCATTAAGATTCGGGTTCTAACCTTTAGAAGGTAAGTCAGACTCCCAAACGTCAGCTAACTCTTATATTTAGCATGTTAGCGACGAACTCAGGCCATGAAATAAATAGTAGTCTCCAACTTTTTGTGGATAGTGTTAGGCAGAAGGTCCCCCTTTGTTTGCACAAAGCTAGCTCCTGAGAGATCGAACCTTGGACTGAAACCTGTGCCCAGTTTTCCGAATCTGTTAAGCTTTCCTACGCTTTGCTGAGCTTTGTTATGCTTCGTTAAGCTTTGATATGCTCTCGGCACTTTAATCAATTCGTGACAGAGCACCCAAAATTTTTAAACAGTTTAGAATTTTTTGGTGCTCTTGCCAAATGTCCCACTTTACTCCGAGCTATTCCACGATCTGCTACGATCCTGACTCTTTAATATAGCTTTTCACGCTTTGCAAGCCACTTTAAAGCGCCGTTGGTGTGAACTTAGCTTTAGGGGTTTTCACTGTTTTAAAAATTCCAGGGGGTTCACATTTTACATTTTGGCCTAAAAATGAGAAGAAGGCAGATCTTTGAAGAAAATGATCCAAAACAACCTCAAATTAGGATATTTGTAACTACTATATCACGGGGTACCATCGAATAATTTTGGCAACGTACCGGAGAACGACATTTTACTAAGAAATGGCAATAATTTAGCACAATATATTTTTAAACTAGAGTTCTATTTTAATTTTGACAAAAGTAAGTATTCCATGCAATAACTATTTCATTCATGGGTTTGTAGGAATTCTGTTGGAACCCAGTTCTGATCAAGTACGAAGTTATTGAAATCGGCGCAGACGGACTTTACTCCGAAAGATGGTTTTTCGATTATAACTTTTCACAACATTTAAGTATAGACTTTTGAAAAAAGTACAGAATAGTCCTTATACTTTTCAATAATTCTGTTATTTCTGATTCACACGACTCTGATTTGTTTAATTAAAAAAAAAGTTTAAAAAATATTACTTAGGAACGTAACCAGAGCTGGGAACGTAACCGGAGCAGATCAGTTGAATTATTTAATCAAAAAAAATTAAAATATATGATTTAAAGCACATATACTAATTTTTTAAAAACATACGGGATTGTTCGAATGCGTATTTATTACATTTTATTTAAAGAAAAACATTTATCCATTATGAAAAATTAAATTTGGTATTTACCATGCATAAGTGCACTTACCTTAGAAAGGCTATCAAACATAGAACAATCATTGTATGGAGAATGAAGTGATTAAATGTAGTAAGCAAATAATTCCATTTGATTTCACCCATTGTATTTGTTCAGCGAACTATTAGAACCCACTCTGTTATACTATGTCAAGAAAATGGACTTAGTGATATTGAAGTACGATCCTTTAAAACCAAGGAATATCTGGACAAACACAGAAGGATTACCCACGGAAAAGTTCTATTTGAATGTCCCCATTGTGTTAAAACATGGAAGAAAAGGGCAAACATGATCAATCACATTAAAAAAAATCACTGAACAATTTAGGAATTTATTAACTCATGAAAAAATAACTATTTTATGGCATCACTTTTGTATTAGGCCTATTTGCTTTTAATTAGCGATGCGACTGATGACTGCCTCTTCTTTGTTTGACAGAACTTTGTACTATACATGTATCTCCTTGTGTTACTTCCCAGCTTCCCACTGAAGCAATAACTATCAGTGAATTTTTTGATACTCTAAAATATAAGTGCAAAAAATATATCTTTAGAAAATTTATATGTTTTGCCATGCATTGATTTTTCTGTAAGTGAAGGGTAATAAATGCTCATTTTAACATTCATATGTGTTTGTAAATAATATATATGCTTTAAATCATATATTTTATTTTTTTAAATTATGTAATTCAACTGATCTGCTCCGGTTACGTTCCCAGCTCCGGTTACGTTCCTAAGTAA